AGCTCCTAAAAACCTAAGTCACAAATTTCAGGCTCTCACCCAAATTCCCTAACAGCTCATGCTAAGTCAAAACAAGGCTTTGTCTTGGGTTCAATTCCAACTGTAATATGATCCAAAAGCACCCAAAGAATTCATTCGTCTTTGCTGCCATGGGAAGCCATATCTCTCTTATGCTTTGTTTTCTTTTGGAGAAGGCTAAGAAGGGCAAGTCACAGTGGTGTAGATTTGAGATAACATTTTCTAATGGAAATATTTTCAAGAAGAATATGGCTGCTACAGTGAAAAAAAAAAACTGTACTCTTTTGCTTGTTGTAGATGAATTTGTTGTTTTGTAGCTCTAATACTGCAATGGACAATAAGAGATCACTGGAACTCCCAGCATCTCTTGCAATTCTGTGTCACCAGCAGTGTAATGGGAAGAGCAATGGCAGCACAATAGTTAAGATATTTCTCCAAAGTAAAATTATAGCGCTAGAGATCAACACAGTATATCTTACATTGTTGTGGCAAGCTGCCAGCAAATCTGAAGGCATCAGGCTGTTGATATAAAAAATTAGACATATGGGTTCCTTTTACTTAGGTAATAAAGACTGTCAAGAATATGCAGTCATCATTTCAACCTGCATTGCTAAATCAGAGCCAAAATCCCAAGACACTGCTGTCATTGTTTTCATTTAAAACAATTTACTGCTGTTTCGGAAAATCTGATCACATCTCTTGCTTTATTCTTAACTGCTGATGAAGATAACTAAGAAAACCATTAATTAACATCAGCTGAACCTGTAGAAGAATCAATGCTTTTCTGTGCAGTCCTGTTTCTTTTGGGAGTTGGTAGTAGAAGCGTACAGCTGCTCTAAAGGAAATCCTCACATTCAGTAGTTGAGTACAAGAAGAAATAAATACAACAGAAGGAGATAAAATTCAAAACTGCATGCATGCAGAGTCCCTCTGACCTTCTACAAGTTATTTAGCACCTATACCTTTGTGTCCCTGAATTCATAAGAAGAGTGGTTGCTGCCAGTGGAAAGAGGGCTAGTTTACTGCATTTCTAAATTCAAGTAGAAAACGCTGGAATTCTGAGAAGGACACTTCCTATAGAACCTTAAGTGAATACTTTTTTTTATGGTGCTTTGTAATAGGGCAACCCAAATTTTGATTCCTTAATTTTACTTATGCCAGGGATACATTACCTTAATTATAACTTAACTAAGAATAAGATTTTCATCTTTATAGTCCAAAGACTCTAAAGGCAACCATGCTAAAGTGAAGACTGGAAGATTTGTTTTACAAATATTGGTAGAGTTCATTGCAAAACTGCCTTGCATTTTTATTTAAGTTCTTTACTATGAGAGTGGTGAGGTGCTGGAACGGGCTGCCCAGAGAGGACGTGGATCCCCCGTCCCTGGAGGTGTCCAAGGCCAGGTTGGATGTGGACCTGGGCAGCCTGGTGGAGGTTGGTGGCCCTGCATGTGGCAGAGGGGTTGGAGATTCATGATTCTTGAGGTCCCTTCCAACCCAAGATCAGTGATTTTAAATGAAGCTACCTAGCTTATGACCTTAGGTCACGAGAAAGTAGCCAGCTATTGCAAATGCCATAGAGTGAAAACAGCTTCTAAACCACAGTTAATTTATAAATCTCTTTGCGGCTGAAAAATGATCTCTAGAGCCATCAACTTTTTGTATAATCCTTCGATGGCAAAGCATTTACAGATGAGAAAGTGGCTAGATGTTACTGGAGACAGGCTTGGCTGCTTGGTGGAATTTACATATTCCAGATTTCTGAAATTCATTACCTTATCTGTTGAATTACAATGATTTCAGGGCTCAAATGAACTAAATAAGGCACTTCTTAAAAGCATAAATGAGGCCAAGAAGATTCATCTGGTCCCATGCCACCTGCGAGAGAAGTTTGTGCTACGCTTTGCTATTTGCTCCCGCACAGTGGAATCCACCCACGTCAAGTTTGCCTGGCAGCACATCTCACAGCTGGCGACCGAGCTCCTGAAAACATGGGAACAAAACCACCATCAGCAGTAACAGTGGTGAGGTAGCAGCAGGGAGGAGGTAATTAGCTGGCTTTCTTTGTGTTGCCAAGTTTAATTTTAGGGGCAGGTGGGAAAGTCGAGTTATGAGGGGAAAAAAATCAAAAGCTGTTGCTACATAGCCCAGCTGCAGTAGCAAAATCCTTGCCAACAAGTTGTGTTCTAACCTTAGTGATTCATTCTCTGCACTGCATTTTCATCTTGTCTTTTTCCAGAAGGGACATATCCATGGCATCTCAAGCTGTCATTTCTTTCCTGTTAGTTATCAAGAGCATTCATTGATCCCAGCAATGGAAACAGAGGGTTAGTATTCCCTCTATTCTTGACATTAAGCCCCCAGCACAAAATCTACTCCAGAGATAAAAATGTAAGGTGTCACCACCAAATAATTTGACATCATAGTGACTTCAGAAAAAAAACAGGTTGTAGGAAGCTCAGTCACCTGGTTATAACACTGTTGGGGTCCTATTCTAAGCAGGCAAGCACAGATGTAATGAGCTGGGTCACTAACATGCTATGACACAAGTGCTGCTGTATTTTTTGCAAATGAAGTTAGAACTTCAAGACTCCTTTCATTATACAGTCAAACTGAGGGAGTGAATGCTTGCTGCCCTTATGGCAGGTTCTCTCTCCTTAGAAGTTTCCTTCTAAGACAGTGATTTTGTCAAATCTCAGCAAATTGTTTATGCTGCTTATTGGTTTTCACTTCAGTCATCCATATTGATGCTCCGTCTTCAGAGTTCTGCCAAAATCCATGTGCTACCTGATGTTCTGTATTTTCAACTCAGTTATTATAAGCAGTAACTAGTTGAAAATAATCTGTAAGCTATGTTGTGTGAAATAGAGTTGTGACATCTTTTGATGGCTACCACTCTGCTTGTTTCATTGTTTGATGAAGAAATATTTGTCAAAATAAAACGTGTACCAGGAACAGCTGGCATGGCATGGAGACTGCTGCTAGCCACATTTTGTCTCTGTGACATCCCAAGGGAGAACCAGACTGGACACGAGGAAAAATGTATTTACTATGAAGGAGATTGAATACTGGAACAGGCTTCTTAGAGAGGTGGCTGATGCCCTGTGCCTGTCAGTGTTCAGTGGCATTTGCACTCAGTAACATGCTTTAATTTTTGGTGTCCCCTTAAGTGATCAGACTGTTGGCCTATTACATGATCTCTGAAATTCCCTTCCACCTGGCCTATTCTAATTCTAATACCCACAGAACTGCATTTCCTCACAGCCAGCACAATACAGAAATCTGAATTTCACAGTTCTTGTTTTTGTTTTCTTCTGAAATCTGGGGATGATTTAAAGCTGCAGTCAATGAAGGCTTTTTTAGCAGTCAGTCTCCCACTGCCTCTTCCCCCCATGTGCTTTGCAGAACATTAATGTTAAGTTGTGTTAAGAACATTGATGTTAAATCATCTCAGAAAAAAAAAAATAATCTGGGCTATGTAATCAACTCAAGAACAAAATTGTTAAAAATAATGTTTTTGAAAGAAGGACCTTTCTGCTGTTTCTGTTCTGTAGCTTTGCAATATATTTGTAAGTGAAATGACTTTGGTGGGAGAAACACTGTATCTATGAATAGTTAATATGTGAACCTTTATCTCTGCGCCTTGTGTTCAAAAGCTAATGCAGTCTGTTCTGATTGATGCTGTTAAAGATAATTACAAAATCTCAGCAAAGCACTTTAGTAGAATACCCACCTCTCAAAGGATGCTGTGCAGCTACTGGAGAAGAAGGGGAAAACATAACTTTTCAGTAACCATGTAGATTCTTTAACAACAACAACAACAAAAGAGTGGAAGGCTACAACACTTACACTCTTCATCATGGCAGGTTATGTTTTATTACTGATGGTGAGATTCTGAAAATATGTAGTTATGAAAGGTGTTGCTAATATGCTTAACATGAGGGGTAGTGGCTGTAAGTTGCCTAGGGAGGTGGTGGAGTCCTTGGAGTGTTCAGTAAATGAGTGGATGTGGCACGGAGGGACACGGTCAGTGGGCATGGTGGGATGGGCAGATGGTCGGACTGGATGATCTTAGGGGTCTTTTACAACCTCAATGATCCCATGATTCTTTGTGAAACCCTACCCCAGACTGCACTGAAATTGGTACGTCTAGTTTTCTCTTGCTTCTGTGTGTCAGATTATGCCCGTGGTTGGTTGTCACTGTTATCACTGTGTCTGTCACATAAGCAGAGGGTGGTGGTATGTAAGTGACATCTGTGGAGACCCTGTAACCTGACTGGAAAAGTCATCTCGTGTTTGGTGTTTTTTTTGTGAGCCGTGCAGTTCCTTTAAATCTCTGTCCGAAGTCTGTCAAACTGACATGTTGGTTTTAAGAGCAGCACTAATAAAGGAAAAGAAAACCACGGCTGTTGTCTGCCTCTGCTGTTAAACCCAACCTTTCCCATTTTGCCCACATCCACTGTAAGGGGTACCATCTCCTCAGCTCACTGTGGCATTCCAACCTTCACCACCAGTGATTTTTAACTTGTTCTCTGAACCAACTACGGGGCATCCAGGAGCTCCTGCGGGACGTTTCCTTTTTAGCAGTGCCCTTCTGAAGAGCTCGCTTTCACACCACACCACAGCCCGGTCCATCTGGCACCAGCCGCCACAGCGCCGCGGAAGGCGTTACCGCGAGGAGCGCAGCCCGCGCCCATTGGTGGGCGCCCGCCGCAGCCGCAGCCAATAGGGAGCGGAAAGGCCCGCGCGCCCGCCTCCTGGCCGCTCTAAGCTCGAGCTGATGACGTTAGCGCAGCGAACCTTCCCCCTTCTCCCCCGCCCTAACCTTCCGATTGGTTGCGTCTGCCACAACGCTGCTATCCGATTGGTAGGGCGGGACGTGGGGGGCGGGGTCTGAGGCAGAGCGCGCGCGGGATCTACAGGGGCGGTTGCAGGCCGCCGCGGCCGGTGGGTGCTCATGGTGCGGGCTGGGTGCGCGGATGTATCGCGGCGCGCTGTGCTCCGTCCTCTGGAGCGCTTGGTGACCGTTAGGCCTCCTTACCTCAGGAGTGAGGAGCACATTTCGGGGCGTCCCTTCGGCCAGGGATGGAGAAGCGAGTCCTGGCTGGGCGGGCTTGGCCTGCTGGGAGCGGTGCCGGTGAGGGACTGCCCCTGCCCTGGGTTGCGGGCGGGACGGGTCCTGGAGCCTTCCTGGAGCGGGGCGGCACGGCACGGCACGGCGGTTGGCGTGCAGCCTGCTGGAGTGGTGCCCACTGGCGGCCCGGCGCGTGTGTTGGCTCCTGTCGTGTGTTGGTTTCCCTAAACAGCCCTACGAAGTTGGGCTGAAAACCACATCGCGTTATGCTCACTGTGGTGCTTCGGTGATGCAGTCAAAGTGTTTTATTTTTTTTTTGGGCAAAGTGTTTTATTTTTTTTTTTAAGTAAAAAGTGTGGGACGTCTCCCCATCCCCAGCGTTTCTTGGCAGCCTTGTATTCTGCACGCTTTGTTATTAACCTGCATTTGTGTGCTGCTTCTACCAGTGTGAATCTGTGCTTGAATCTTCAGCTGGATGCAGAGGCTTGTATTCTGTTTGCTGAGAGAGATAACATACCGACCTCCACCTTAACAGTTTTGTTTGTTTTCTTTTCTCGTTGGAAAAACCCCATGCACATTGAGATGAACAGACAGACGTTAGGATTTAATGTATTTCAGCCATGTTGAGGAAGTGCTTATGGACAGATCAGAATATGAGAATTGCCTATCAGAACAGTGTAAACCCTGAAGAAGCAGCAGTAGACTTCTCTAATTTTGCTTTTGCTTCTTCATCAACTACTGAGTCCTGGCCCTTATCAGAGATATTTCTGCATGTGACCACAGAGAGACTACTGTGAAATCACGTCAAAAACATGGTCTGATCTTTTCAAAGCTAGTAAAACGCCCCTTCTGAGCCAAGACTCATCTTTCTTATTTTTTGAACTTAACAGCAGCAGAAGGAACTTAAATTCTGAAGTATAAAATTGAAAAGTGAATATTGCTGTAAGCAGACAAGGCCTTTCTCAGGAATATAAAGCTGAGGGGGGGATTTAGTATGTTCTAAATGGAATAAGTAGTTATAAACATTTGCTACAAATCTATTTAATCAAGCCTATTCATTGCAATTTTTCCTCCCCTCACAGTTTGCAAATAGTTTTACTCAATACCTTTGTTGTTCCTGTTTTATTGCCATCACTGTCATCTTTTTAACAATGACCTGTACTCAGACCTCCTCTGCACTGTGCGCTGTCTGTCAAATAGGAGCAAAAGCATTGCTGATTTCATTTAACAAAGTCAGTTTTTGCTTGGCCATCTGTTAGCATTCTTTGCAGTCTAGTTACTTCCCCAGGAGGCTACAGGTTAAAAGCAAACTTTTCCTCTCTTTTTTCTTTTTTCTCCTTTTTTTTTTTTTGTATTATTCTTTTTTTTCTTTGAACAAGGAAGAAAAGGAGCAGTGTAAGTGGCTTTTCCTACAGTGCTGCTTCCTTTTTGTAGAGTGTCCACTCTGGCTAAGCAACTTCTGCAGTTCTGCTGCACTCAATTAAAAATGATGTGTGTTTTAATTTATTTGCAATTCAAAAAGGGGCAAGCAGCCAAGTAAGCAGCTGTGAAACATTTTTTGTAACAACAGGTATTTTTATGTCTGTTTCAGTGTCAGTGATGGAGGCCCCGATGCATGGCACCGTGCACCTGAGCGACTGGCAGAAAAGTTACTTTGCTATTGCCTCTGGCACCTGCACACCCGGACAGAAGGCTGATGAGTACCGTGCCAAAATTCTGCGTATTCAGTATGCATGGGCAAACTCTGAGATCTCTCAGGTCTGTGCTGCCAACCTCTTTAAAAAATACGCAGAGAAATACTCTGCAATTATTGACTCTGACAACATAGAGACTGGCTTGAATAACTATGCTGAAAACATTTTGACTTTGGCAAAGTGTCAACAAAATGACAGTGACAAGTGGCAATCTGCCTTGACAACAGAGAATGTATTTGGTTTGAAGTGTGTGCAAGAGAGGATGCAGGCTGGCAAAAATGTCCAGAGCTCTCAGATGGCACCAGCAGATGCCCTTGTACTAGCTGATAAAGGGGTCAGTGCCTCTGCTGCTCCAGGCCTTCCCAGGCTCAGTGCTTTCAGCAGCACCGGTGAGAGTGAACGCTGTGCTAGCTCATCAAAAAGTACAGGTCGGGGCCCACATCTCCTTGAGCATCCCTTGTCTTCAAAGTCTCTCCAAAGCAGTGTGCCTCCTGAGACCAAAACTTCGGATATACTTCCTGTGTCTTCTGCCTCCTTAAGTGAACAGATTCATACAGGGTTCCAGGCGGCACCGCTGTTTGGAAATAAAGAAATGACAAGTGGTCCTTCTCTGAAAATTCCAGGTAACTGTAGTGATGGACAAAATTTGTCTCTTCCCAATCAGTCAGCTGTACAAGCATGGTCTGGGAAAAGAAAAGCATTTTATGGCTTGACTGATAAAGGCAGCACTTCCACTTCTAGTCTTGCTCCATGCCAGGCTTCCAGTACTATGGAAGCCAACAGTTTTTCCGGGAGTAGAAATGGAATTGAAGAGAGTGGTGTTCCTGGTTTTAGAACTGCCAAAGAACAGCTGTGGGTGGATCAGCAAAAGAAACCTCAAAGTCTACAACAGCGTGCGCCAGTCTCAACATATGGAGGTGTAAAAAAGTCACTGGGTGCTGGTAGATCTCGGGGTCCATTTAGCAAGTTTGTTCCTCCAGTCCCAAAACAGGATGGAAATGAAAACGGAGGAATGCAGTGTAAGCCTCATGCCAGAGGGCCAACGGATCCTTTACTTCCTGTAGATGAACGACTGAAAAGCATAGAACCAAAAATGGTGGAACTCATTATGCATGAGATCATGGACCATGGGCCTCCTGTGAACTGGGATGACATTGCTGGAGTTGAATTTGCTAAAGCTACAATAAAAGAAATTGTAGTCTGGCCTATGCTGAGGCCAGACATCTTTACTGGGTTACGTGGTCCTCCTAAAGGAATTCTTCTCTTTGGCCCCCCTGGAACTGGGAAAACTCTCATAGGCAAGTGCATTGCTTGCCAGTCTGGAGCTACTTTTTTTAGCATCAGTGCCTCTTCTCTGACTTCCAAATGGGTAGGCGAGGGGGAAAAGATGGTCCGTGCCCTGTTTGCTGTGGCACGATGTCAACAGCCAGCAGTGATTTTCATTGATGAGATTGATTCTCTGTTGTCTCAGCGTGGGGATGGGGAGCATGAGTCTTCAAGGAGAATAAAAACTGAGTTTCTGGTCCAGTTAGATGGGGCAACAACCTCCTCTGAAGATCGTATTCTGGTGGTTGGTGCAACGAATCGGCCCCAGGAAATCGATGAGGCTGCCCGAAGGAGACTTGTGAAGAGACTTTACATTCCTCTTCCAGAAGCTTCAGCTAGAAAGCAGATTGTTACTCGTCTGATGTCAAAGGAGCACAACTGTCTCAGTGAAGAGGAAATCGAGCTTATAGTTAAGCAATCAGATGGGTTTTCTGGGGCAGACATGACACAGCTGTGTCGTGAAGCTTCTCTGGGCCCTATCCGCAGTCTTCAGTCCATGGATATCACAACCATCATGCCAGAGCAAGTACGACCCATTGCTTTTGTTGACTTTGAGAGTGCCTTTGGAACCGTGCGGCCCAGCGTGTCCTCGAAGGACCTGGAGCTGTATGAAACCTGGAACCGGACATTTGGCTGTGGCAGATAGTTGCATTGTAACTTTTGCAGAAACAGTTCTTTAGCACTGCTATGTATTAAACCTGTGATCATTTAGTGTATCCACGCTGCTTTTTGTTTTTATCTGTCTTTGTAATAAACACTCTAAATTTATGCAGCCAGATGTCCAGGTGTTGGCATGAGGTGTAGCTCATTGAAAAAACTGAGGAATTACAGAGAGCTGCTGTGAAGGATTGATGGATGAGTTTCACTGATGTTAAGGGGAAGATGATATCAGAACTAAATAATTTGGTTGGGGGTGTAGCAAAGCTGGAGCTAATGGGGAAACTCGGGGGCACACTGAGTTGGAAGGGAGACAGGAACAGAGGAAGGAAAGAATCATGGTGGAAGAGGAAAGAAACTCATGGAAAAATAGAAGGGGGGAGGAAAAAGAACAGTGTCGTACAAATAGTGGTGTTGTTTGACTGAGACCTGCCTACATCACTGTAGCCTATTCCCAGGTTGTTATTAAACTCTCTTTCTGTTTGCTTTTCCATTTGACTTTGTTTTCTATTCTGTGTCTGTGTGCATACCGTGCCTAATCAGGAGGGCACCAACAACTGTAGAAGAGGCCAAGGGTCATAAGGGGCTGTAGGCTCTCAGGGCCAGCCATGGACTTTCCATATTGTGTAGGGGTAGGGTGATGTGATCCCTCATGTCTGCGCAAACTTCTCTAGAAGAAATTACTAGCAATCTTCAGGTTGGACTGCAAATGGGAGGAAAGTAGCATCTGGAATGAGCCAAAGTATGACCTGTTGGCAGGGAAGTTGCCTCCATCCCTGCAGGCATTCAAGGCCAGGCTGGATGTGGCTCTGGGCAGGCTATGGGCAGCCTGGTCTAGTGGTTGGTGATCCTGCTCATAGCAGGGGGTTGACACTAGATGATTATTGTGATCCTTTTCAATTTAAGCTATTCTGTGATTCTATGAAGAGGAGGCTCAGAGTTTTGCTACGACTATTGCATGAACTTAGATCCTATGGCAATGCTTGAAGGACCTGTGAACATGGTGTTCTTGTGAAGTGAGGGAGTGAGGAGGCCTGGGTGTACTGCTGGTGAGCTTCAATCCTGTTCATGTGGAGACAAGAAATGAAATAGGGCTGTCTGCTGTTTATGCTGTTAGATAGGAAGAAGAAACGCTGTGTCCCAAAGTCAACTACTTAAAATGTTTTCTAATAACTGTGGTAAAATTACTAACTAGGTTCTATTTTGTATTCTTACCTAAGGGCTTGAAGAAAGGCTCTGCCATTTTGTTCAAATAATCCATCCTTGCCCACTGGCTGGATAGAGTTGAACTGAAAATACATGAAATGCTTTCATTTTTGTAGGGCTGACTACAGTGGTATCTGGGGTTTATTTTCACTTTCTCTGAAGCATTTCTCCTTCTATTAGGAAAAAGCTGATCTTAAAAGCTAGTCATAAGATTTTTCTGAAGTGGGATAAATTATTGATGCTGGTTAGCTAACATTTTTTAAAGCCATTTGGGAACTGCAGAAAGCTATGAGACTAGTGAAGCTTAATTTTGGAATAGTTTGGAAAGTTTAGCATTTCTTTTTGTTTAATCACAATAAGCCCTAACAATCAGTTCTAGTTTGTGTCTTCAGAAGCATGGGCTGTGTGAGGGATGGTTTTGCAGAGACATAAAAATTCAGGTATGCGAATTTATCTTAATTTTTGAAATAGTGGAAGTAGAAGGATTTGGTTATAAAAATAAACAATTTGTGTCACTTTAGGCTCATATAGCTCATGTTGGGGAGCAATAAATGTGCTTTAGGGAATATGTCTTCTGTCTGCAAAGATCTTAAACCCCAGTGAAAATATGTTCTTTAATATCTGAGTAAAAACCCCAGAGAATTTTAACTGTTTTAGTAAATCTCAAGAGTTGTTCAAGAGTAATAAAAACTTCATCATCTTACGTAATTGCCATCTTTATGCTGAAAACTTCTTTTTTAATAGAGGACTTTACTGGAAAGACAAGTGAGAATGCATGTGACGATAGACAGTAAAGTGCCTCCTAAGATGGCAAGGACTGGGAAAGAATTGCTGTGCTGCTGCATTTATTTTCTGCAAAAGAGAACTTGTGAAAGAGAGAAAAGATGGAACCGCAGCACCAGATAGCAGCATTCGTCCTCCAGCTGCTTATGCTGTTTATTACTCTGTAGTCCTGAACAACATGAGTGTGCTTTGTTCATGTCATGACCATGAAGTTCATGTAGAAGAAAAGAAACTATCTTTTTTCTTCTTTTCTTTGTACTGATGCAACTATATGGCAGTCTCTTCAGCCATCTAGCAATATTCAGGCTTTGCTGCAGGATTCAAGTCAGCAGGACTTCCAATATTAGCCCAATATGTATTTCATAACCCACTATAACAGTGCCACCCAAAATTTGATTCCCTTGTAGCATAATTTTACAAAAATAGAGAAAATTGCACAAAAGTGGGGCATGATTGCAATTTAAGGGAAATGGTGCAGATAAATCCATTTTAATGGACCTGTTTATTGTATACAGAAACTTATGTACTTCATTATTTATTCTTTTTGGCTGGCTGAACTTAGAAATGCAGGACTCTCCTTTGGTTTTGTGGGTCAGCAACATTTGTTGCACAATCTCTTAGTTTCTCGTAAATAAAGGTAAATCATTTCAGTCCTGGAAAGGTGAGCTCTTTTTAATAATCATGGCAATCCACACTCTTTTCACCCTGTCAGTGCATCTTGTATAGCTAAATTGTCTTGGAGCATTTTGAAATCTGTAGATGAATGTACATTTATAGAAAACTGTGCCAACACAAGTAGGGAAAAAGCTGATGAAGCAGCAATGATTGTCATTTACTAATGGCACGTGGATGAAAAACAGACTGGCCTCTAAGAGCGTTGGTAAGATTGTCCAATTGAAATAATGCAATTTTTGTTTTTCTATTAGACATTACTGCTACCAAACCAGCAGGTAACTGGAAAAAAAAAAAGAAAAAAGAAAAAAAAAGACACAAAATAAACATCAGCAACAAAAGCACCAAATGAACAAGCAGAAAAAAAAAAAAAATTCCTATAAAAGTTATAATTTTATTGGAAAGAGCAGACTGGTCATGGTGAGCACTTGTGTTTACTTTGTTACACAAAGAATGCCTTGCATTTGTCTTCAAGCTCATTAAGCACACTTTCCTTTTATATTTAAATGATAGCTCAGGTTTGGGACGCTTTTGAAAGAAGTCTTAGGAGCAGTTCCTTTAACTAAAGAGATAGTGGTGGGGTAGCTTTGCTAACAGCCACATGACCACACATCTGCTTGCTTGTTCCCCTGCCTACGGAATAGAGCAGAAAAGAGAGGTAGTGGGTTCAGGTAATGACAGATGGCTTATCAGTTTGTGTTGTGAGCAAAACTGATTCAATCTAGGGAAAATTAGTTTATTGTCAGAAGAGATTTGGGTAGTGAAAAACAAAGGCAAACGTTCTAACAACCGCATTCTTCCCTGCTGCTTTAAACTTCACTTCCACTCTTCTCTCCGGGTGGTACAGCAGAGACGTTATGGTCAGCACGCAGACGTTCCTCTCTGTAGCCCCTTCCCTCTTATGCTTTCCCTCTCTCTAGCATAGGCTTCCAGCACACCAGTTTTTTTCAGGGATATCTGATATCTACTCCAGCATGAGCTCTGTAAGGTCAACAGCGTTGCTTTGCAGTCCAGCAAATATCTGCATCTGTGCCTTTCTCTTTGAACTTTGCATTCATTTTGCTGTTTCTCACTCTTCTCATTTCTTCCTCCTAGAGCTCTCTTTGTCTTGTTTTCCCCTTTCCTTTTCCTTAAAAATTTTTGGTTTTTTTTTTTTTTTTCCCAGAAACACCATACATGTAGCTGATGAGCTCAGCTGTGTTCTACAGAGAGTTCACTGTGATGACAACTGGAACCAGCTGTATCTGGCACTGGGCAAGCCCTGACCTCTTCACATGGGAGGCCACCCGTACCTCCCCACCCACTACCAAAACCTTGACACCTGCACCCAATATAGATGCCTTCAGGGGAACAACTCACATAATTATAGTGCTTAGTGAAGATGCTGATGATATGAAATTTTCAAGGCATAGATTTCTTTACTTGTTAATATTTTATTGCCATTCTTTATCTTAACTGCAGCAAAGCAATCGTACAGTGCTGTAGCTATAAGCTAAAATTGTACTGATGAATCAGTATTACCTGCTTTAGTCCCATTAAGTGAGAAAGTTCATGTGAAGAGCCAAAATTGTGTTATTATAAAATTACAAGTCTGGGAAGCGCTCTGAGAGATCACAGAATTCTGATTTCACACAGAATTCATGTGAATTAGTTTTTGTGATTCCTGGTACTTGTTTTGCCCGTATCCAACAATTATAAAACTATTTGTCTCTTCTTGGACATAAGCTGATTTTACTTTGAATGCATGTGATCATGTGATGATATCTAGGATCTGCTCTACATACAGCATTTGCTGCTATGCAAACACAATTCAGTAAATTCTTAATGTTCATTATTGGTAAAACAGTTCTCTTGACCTGATTCTTCTCTAGCATGATTGAAGGAAGGCAAGATTCTTCCCTAATGCCTCATCTCTGTTAGTATAATGTACACTTTTTCTGCTTTATCCTATTCTTATTACTCACTGATGCGGGGAAAGCTCTACTCATCACCTTCTTAGCCACTACTGTTGATATCTGCTGTCACTTGATATTATTATACTATCTCGACTACACACATCTTCTACATCTTTCTAAAGATGTCCTGTCCATTAGAATTCTGATCGCTTCTGTGGGTTCATCTCTCTCCCACATTGATTTAGCTCAACTAGGACAGTGCTCATCAATGACCAGGGTTGGAACTAGTGTAGAACTGAAGGTCTGAATGTGCGTGACAGGTGAAGTATTCATTGGAGTATGATGCTTGTTTTTTCTCTTTACATTATAGGTCATCTTCAGAAAATTGTTCAGAAATTGTTGCATTTCTTCATCTTTCACAACTTTGCCAACAACAAAGTTACGCAGTGGAACCTCTCTTTTCTATCACTGAAGTCGCTAAGGAAAACAGTGACACTGATGCAGGAAGGACTTGTGCAAAATTTTTTATGGTCTCTCAGTTCGGCTATAACTGCACTTTGAAAACGGTTTTACAATTAACTGCACTGGTATTGCAATAATTTAATAATTTATATTGTAAGAGTCGCAGAAGACTCTTGAAAGACTCACGGAAGGTAATTAACTCCCGTGTTGCCAAGGCATATTACCTGCTCAAGAGGGCTATTAAATTGTTTTCTTCTGGAGGAAATTGCAGCAGCAAGCAAAAGGCAATGTTTTCCAGAAGGCAAGGCTTGAGGAAAGTTAATATCAACTGCAGACATCTTGAAGAAGAAACTGAATATGCTTTTTGGGTGGAAGAGAGATGATGCAGTACCTCCTCATGGTAAGTTACTATGGGAAAGAAAGATTGCCATTTCTCCATCTGGGCATGACTGGCGTCATTACCTGGGTGGGAGTCAGAATATAGTAAATCCTAACTAGGAGTAAGAGGGGCATGTGGTCTTAAATTCTTTACAACACTAAGCCTATGTTCAGACCAGAGCACAGCTTTATTTCAGGTAAAGTAGCTTGTAGACTTCATGGTTAATGTGGCATCTTATATTTGGTACCCATTTCAACTAATGACTGCTTACACTTGCAAATCTGATGTAGTCAAAATTTCTTATAAGAGTTTTCATGCAGCAGCTTCTGCTAATGTACATAACACCCTGAAGAAGGAGAACTTTGGCCTTTATTATTATGTCAGCTGTGGATTTTTTTTTCTAAT